TGGGGGCCAGCAACAATATTAGGACTGGCATCTTTCTTCTTTTTTTTAATATTTCTTTTTTTTAGTTGTAGTTGGACACAATACCTTTATTCCACTCATTTATTTTTATGTGGTGCTGAGGGTCGAACCCAGGGCCCCGTGCATGCTAGGCAAGCGCTCTACCACTGAGCCACAACCCCAGCCCAGGCATCTTTCTTCTTTGCTTTGGAATAATCATTACACTCAAGAGGATCACAGCAATTAGACTTCAGAAAAGACCTACTCTCTGGAAGGGTTGGTGGGGAACTGAAATAATTGTCTATTTCTTTAAAGGTGAAATATTGTATAATGTTATCACAGGTCTTGAATCTAGAATATTGGATTTGAATATTGGCTCTCTCTCTTTATAGCTGTGTGATTGAACTCCTCTATTCCTTGGTTTCCTCATCTATCATATAGGTATAAAATACTACTTTCATTGTGTAGTTGTTACAAGTTATACATGAATGAGCTAATATGCAGAAGAATGATGGAATATATAACATAAATTAGCACATAAATTGAGACTTGGAAGAATTTCTGGCACTCAGAATACAATCAAATATTAGCCATTTTATAATTACCAGTATTTTAAAAACTATTGATAACCTGTTAGATGGGTCATGTATAGGAAGTAATATAGATTTTCTGTGTTTATAATCTACTTTAGTTCCTTTAATCTCCATATCTATGCCCCATCCTATCAGGCTTTCTGGTCAATTAAACTTCTGAGCTACAAATTGAATTGACAAAATAATCCCCCATAATTGCTTAAGATGCTTTTCCCTTCTAGGAACATATTCATTTTTATAGGAGACTCTTCCAGATACAAAAACTCTTAGTTCTAAAAAATTAATTACATTCTTAGGCCATCCTAGGCAGGACTACTATGAGATGTCATACTTGGCATACAATAAAGGAAATTTGGTACAGTAATTTCCATACTTCGCTCACTAGAATCTTTGGGAGTATGTAGGGGATAAAGACAGAAATCAAAGGACCCATTTTCCCTACCACATGTAAGCTCTTTGATCCAATTCCGTATTGGATATTGTTTACTTTAAAAACCATGTTTGAACTTTATAGGTTTAGTGAAGAATATTTTCTAAACCCTGTTTTTTGTTTTTTTTCTTTTTTTGGTGGGGGGAGTGGTGGTTGAAAATATGTTTTTCTCTAGTAGGATATATGAATCTCTGTGGTTTTGATTAAACTACCTGACTTGGGATAACATATAGGAGTCTCATGATCAAGTATTGTTCAAGGCACATAACATCATCTTTTTCAGATGGTCCGAACAACATAAGACTCATTATAAAAACCAAATATCATTGTGAGATTGACACAGCAACTGTGGAGACAGCAATTCCTCAAGTGTCAGAGGTCTCTTGAATTTCCTATCTGCAAATATGTTCATGCAACACATCTGAAGGAGATTTACATAAAAATCATTGATTATAAAACAATGAAACAGAATGCCCTACATTCTCTCCATCCTTGACTTTTGATCTTTGCTATTTTTAAAAATTTTCTTTTCTGCATTCATGCAATATGCAAATCTTTGAACATTTAAATACTGTCATTCACTATTGAAACTGCTAGAAGCCCTACAAAGGCCATCTTGAGCAACTTTCTATCAGGGAAGAGACTTCTTATCACATGTAATCAAATCCTATATTTAAAAATATGTATAAAGGGAACTACATTGTAAAATATATTTAAAATACAGAACACATCCTATAGAGACAGGCATCTGAAAATTGCCTAATTTAGTTACATAAAATGCCTTAGAATGAAAGTTGGGTCCTCAAGTAAAAGTGACAGGATATATCTGCAGTGGAAGAATTGCTAGATGGGAAAATGCTAATGCAACCAGATATTTTCTTTCTTTATCAAAAGCCTTATTTTCCCCTCCTGTGAATAGATCTAATCATCCTCTACTTTTCTCATCCAACTAAACATGTTTACTACTTCTGATATTTTTTCTGCTTTACTGGCCTTTAGTCATAGATCATTAACACAAAATACAATAAGCCCCATTAACTCATATCTGTGATGGCTGGATAATAGATAGAAGTAGGTCCTTGGTTGTGCTTTCAAGGTAGGAAGAGATCTGGAACTGATATGATCCCCAACTGATATGATTAACCCTTCAAACAAACTCCAAAGGGAATTATGTGAAAAGAACAGTGAACTGGACTGTAATGTCCATGTCCTGTTAAAAACAATTTTTATCTGTTTTGTTGAGTCTTTTAGTTCTATTCAGGGCCCTTTACTCTTAGATACACACTTTGATCAGGTCAGCAGGCCAAAATACCCTAACCAAGGCTGTGGAAGGCCTGTCATATGGAGAGATAGCACCTTTAAATTAGAGGTGGCCCTGGGTCCATCTTAATAAATATCTAGCATGAAATTATAAAGAAAGAAGCAATCCAAAATGGAATAGATATTTAAAACAAAAGTAAAGAATGAAAAGCATAGATATGTGAGTTTTTAAGTGTGTTGTTCTTTCAAAGTCTGCTTTTCAGGATTGTGGTCTAAGTGACTCTTCCTCTTGACCCAAGACAGATCTCCTTCTGGACAGCACAGGACTGAGGATAACTTGAGTATGCCTAGAGGTTGAACCATGCAGCCAAAATAGATTAAGTCTGCATTCCACACAAGGTGTTAAGGTAATACAGAGGTAATAGTAGACATCCTTGTGCTACTTCAGGTTCATTTCTCTTTCCCACCCACCTTTCAAATATCTCAGTGTTCTCTCATGGACAACATCTGGCCCTTTGGTTCATTAGCTCCAGTAAGTTTGTTTTCTTTTTCTCTAGGTTCATAAGTGAGTTTTACCAAGGTATTCTACTCAGAGAGGACCCTTCATATTTCAATAACATTTTATATAACATTTGAAAAGAGATTAAGGGTCTATAAGTTGGTAATAAGCAATCTAAAAGAGAGATTTTTTTATGGTCAAACATGTTTGGCAAAGACTTATTTTGTATCTATATATTATTTTACTATTTCATGTTCTGAGAATCCATATTTAAGAAAACATTTAAGTAGGAGAAGAGAAAAAAAAAGACTAGTGGGTAATTTTTAGAGTCACGTGCCTGGGAAATCCAGAGAAGGAGGTAATCTCAGGGACTCTACCAATAACCCATCCACATCATGAGAACTTCTTTCTCTCTCTTCACTAACACTTTCAACCCCAAATCTTTTAGCTGTGCTTATATCTACAAACATTTAAATTTTATTATGTGAATGACTTTTTATCATGCCATCATGATGGTGATCCTGGGACCTAGAGAGGAACATATTCACAGAGATGTTAGGCTGACACCATCTCAGTTTTATGACCTCCTCTATGAAGTAAAATAGCTTTTTAACTAGGTATATGTATGTTAAATTGCATAACAGGCTCTAATTTCCCTGGCTTGGGTAATAGGCTAGATCTGGTATATGGTCTAAACTACACCAAGTATGACTCGGGTATCGTGATGTGCCAAGGCTACCTTTAGTGAACAGAGAATTGGCTTCTTATTATTGACAACCTCACCAGGATTAGAAAAGAGGGGAACTCATCAGAAGACAGAGGTTATGTTAACAAAAGTGAGAAGTGATGCTGTGCACATAAAGTAGCAGATGTCTCTAAATACCCTTGCACATAGTTATCTCCTGGAGAGATTTACAAAATACTGATGTCTGAGTCTCATTCCCAATAATTCTGATTGTTTCATGTAGAGTGTAGTACAAATGTTGAGTTTAAAAAAAAAAATCCTGCAGGTGATTCTAAAGTACAGCCATGACTGAGCACCTCTTATCTAGTTGCTTTTCCAGGGTTTTTACACATCACAAAAGATCAGTACTTATAATCTCAGTTATCTGTTCTGAAAAAGATCTGTGATTACAAGAGAATGTGTTCAAGACTCATTGAAATTTGATTTCACCTTCCTTCTCTAGTCTTATCTTCTACTTCTTTTTCAGTCATTCTCTATGTTCCAGCACATATGGGATGTTTACTGGTCTCCAAGCATCTGTAAACACCTGTAGTTTCCCATGGATGATCATCCCATTTCTTCAATTTAGAAAAAAGTTGTGCAACAGAAAATTCTGCGATGATGGAGAGAATCTTCAATGAAGTTCAATATGGTAGCCCTTAAGGTCCATATTGTTTTTGGCTATTGAGCACTTGAAATTGGCTAGTGTGACTGAATTTTTTATTTTATTTCAGTAAAGTTTAAATTCAAAAGCCATATGTGGCCACTCCTTAAAGGGAAGATAGACTTCTTTATGTAGTGCATCTCTATCAGCATTCTCTCAAAATTTTCAATATCCGTGTTTTGTAACCCCCATCCTGATAATTCCCCCGAGTCGTCAGCTTAACACTCCTCTTGTTAATTTCTAATTGTCCAATGGATGTGGCACTCACTCCACTGCTCCATATTCTCTTTTCTGTCACCCTTGCCTCCCACCCCCTAGGTATTAGAAATCTCTTGAAAGAAGGAACTGACCGAAGGGCTTGACTTTACATAACCTCAATAAGCATTTGTGGAAAAAACACAAAATTGCCCAACACATTAAATGTTCCCACTTATGCATTGACGAAGCACATAGGCACACAATTATGAGACAACAGGTACATAACATGTAAGTTTATGCGTTCAAGTGTTGCCAACTAGACAGGAAGGCACATTTCCTGGCTGTGTGAGAAAAACTGGGTCAATAGAATAGGTAGGAGAGGATGAAAATTTGTGAAATGACCACAGGGTGTTAACTCATTTTATTTGGCTTGGAGGCAAGAATAAGTTTGGATATAGAAGAACTAATGGTATTTTAAAGTAAATGAGGGTGCCTGGCCACTCAGAACATACTCTATCACTTCTGGAAGAATTCTGGGATCCGTCCTAGTGCAGGAATTGTAAGTTCATCCTGACCCATGCTTTTTTCCAGAATTAGTTGGTAAAACGATGAACTCTCACTTAAATTTTCTGAAGATGCTACTGTTGCTGGGGAAATGTCACTGTTAAAGAACAGAAGAATATTATTTTCAAGAGTATTGCAGACTGACTGAATCAGGTCTGGAACATTATTGAAATGGTAAGAAAAACTCAACTACTCTCTGGTAAAAGAATTTTTTTTTTTTTTTAAATATGGTCCCTTCTGAATTACAGGCAAATGTCACCAACTGATTTTTAGTGAAACCTTATCTGTTAGCAGCGAGGAGATGGAACAATTCTCTAGGCTCCTCCCAGAAGCCCTGCAGTTTCAGTTTCTTTCCCTTGAGATCTCCTGTAAGGGAAGCAGCTGAAGCTAGAGGTCATTAACATTTGAGAAAACTGCAAACTGACACTGTGTAATGTTATGACATTTCATCTCCTGACATTTAATCTCTTTTAATCAGTGTTTATGTGGATGATTCTTCATAGTTATTTGCTTTCACATAAAAATGGAACACTTTGGTGTGTCGTTAACATAATACTAATTGATTTATTATCCATTGCAATTGTCTTCAGGTCTTTTTCTCCTTTTATCTCTTCTCTCTCTTTTGTCCTTCCTTTCCTTTCCCCTTCTTCTCTTCATTGTTTTCAACTTTCGCTTTCATTAAACTGCTATTTTTGGAAACACTTTCCATTTGTCTCCTTGTTGATATTCTTCCTTGTGGGTTGGGGATTTGGGTTTTCATGCTATTTTAGTAACTTTTAAGTGTATAGTCTCAAACAGACACAATCTCATCTCTATGAAAAATGCACACAGTCCTCCTAGTTCTTGGTTAGGGACAACTTTTCCCTTATGTAACTTGGGGGGCACACAGCATTCTCTCTCCCCCACTTCTCTTGTGTTTAAAGTATTGTTTTAAGTGTCTTAATGCATCCATTTCTCTTTTCTCCTTGGCTGTGGGGTACTTTGTCTTACTTGAAAGCCTCTTACACGTTTCTTCCCCTTAGAAATATTTCCATTAAATGCAGGAGTGTTGTTTATTTTATATTAGAGAAATAATGTACAGACTCTCCTACTTAGGATGTCTCAACTTATTGATAGCACAACAGTGAAGTGCACTCACTAGAAGTGCTACTTTGAATTTTGATCTTTTCCTAGACTTAAAATACGTGGTGTGATATTCTCTTGTGATGCAGGGCAGAGGCAGTGAACTGCAGCTCCCAGGCAGCCACACATCACAAGGGTGAGCAACTAATACTCTAAAGTTTGCTGTGTTCCTAAATTGTGATATTTGGTTGGTTAGGTATACTAAAATCATTTTTTTTACTTAATTATGTGTTAATGATGTGTTAATTGTGCTGTGCCCCACAGTAAGTCAAGGACCTTCTGTATTCCTTTGTATAAAAAAGTGGTTGCACATTTGAATCCATGAAGTATGATTTTTTAACAAATGATCATAATTTCTGTTATAAATCTGTTTTTTTTTTAATCAATCAAAAACTATCTTAGTTTAGGAAAGGGTTTCCCAAACTTGACACTGTTGACATTTGGGGCTGATAATTCTTTGTTTTGGGGAATAGTTCTGGGCATTAATAGAACATTTTATTAGTACCCCTAATTTGTGCCCACCAGGTACCAATAATGCCTCCAAGTCATAATAACCAAATATGACTCCAGATATTGCCATTGCCATATGTCTGCTAGGGGACAGGATAGGGATGGGGATAACAAAGCTTTGTTGAGAACCACAAAGTGTTTTTGGTGTTCTGTTCACTTTTTGAGGAATGGGACAAGTTTATAGAAAGGACTAACGGCCCCAAAGAGTAGACCTGTTTTTGAAATCCTCCCGTATCTGCACAGATTCATCGGAGGAGTCCCCTTTCCCACTGTAACTTTAAGCCAGTCATCTAGCAAGGACACTCAACAGAAGTCCCTGCTCTGCTCTTAGACACAGGTCAGTCTCTTGCTTCTTGCTACTGTGGGCTGTAAGATGCTCTGTGAGGAGGCCTCAGGCTGTCTGCAGCACTGTTTTAGAGAGCCAGGCTGAAGGACAGGAACACTAGGATCTTGCTGGCCATGGACTGTCCCCTGGGCAGGAGCACGGTCCTATCTGATCTCAGGTGTCTCAATGTCCTCTAGGGAGACCTCCATACAGGACATTGCACCCAAGAGCCTGCCATTACTTGAGCTTTGCTTCTGCTGTGACTGTCCTTGTTTCCTGCTTACAACCATCTGTAGGTAAGCGGAAGACAAGGAGGCCTTTTCCAAATACAATGTTTTATGATCTAAAAGTTATATATTTCATAAAAGATTTTATCTACTTTTTTGTATGTTACCCTTTCCTTGAGGCAATGAATTCCACTGGCTGAATGGATCAAAAAAAGCATAAAAGAAAATGAGAAAAAAATGAAATCAAATTTATTAAAAATATCATCACTTATTCTGGGTTTACATTTATGCAGGAATAGAAATATTTGGAAAATTAGATACAAAAGCAGGTTATCTTATTCTCATTCTACAGAAGAATGATTAGGATTATAGGGGAACTTAGCCACAGGGAAGCAAAGAGCCCGAGTGGTGGTGGACTCCCCAACTGGGTGTCCTGTGGGTAGAACAGGAGAGAAGTGGGTGTCTAGGATGATGTAGTTCATTTCATCTGTGTGTTATGGTTTGCTTTGTGTTAATGAGACAAGGGTTTCTTAGCCATCTGCTGTAATTTTGGTCAATTAGCAGCCATTGGTCTTTGCAGAGGCCCTGTTTGCTTTTAATTCCCATTTCCCCAACCTGTATTTAGCATATACTTCTATTTTCAAGCATTAGTGCAAACCTGCATTATTTCAAGTAGTTTTAATTTGCCTACACAACTTTATTTTTTTTAGTTTTTTCACTCAACATTCCTTTTAGGATCTAATACGTTGGATGTGAAATCTCTTTTTCTGTTTTTAATTCCTTTGGTTACTAATGACTTTGAGCATCTGTTCTTATATTTTATTAAACTTATGATTTTCTTTAGCTACAAATTTACCCAAATGTCTTTCTTCCCATATTTAAAATTTGGGATTCCTTGGCTTTTTTTTTTTTTTTTTTTACATGAAGGACTTCTCTATATATTCTGGATAATGATTTCCTTGTGGTTTTAGAAATGAAAAATATCTCTTTGTGACATCTTTCTGTGACTTTATTTCCTAATTTTGATGGGATTGAATCCATTAATTTATGTTTTTGGAGTTTTGTTTAAAAAGTCCTTCCCCAGCCTTGCGGTACATCATCTTCTGTATTCATGGTTTTCCTTGATTTATTTTTCTAATATATTTGGATTTTGCGTTTGTGTATTATAAGAGCTGTAGATTTTTCTCTATAATGAGCAGTCCTCCTGTCACCATTTACCGAGCAATCTGATTTGTGGTGTCATCTTTATTATTATTTAAATTCTGAGATATGAGTCTGTCTCACAGAAATCCTGGAATGGAGGCCAGTTTGTCTTCTATTGCATTTATATATTGTTTTTAAATACAATGACCTTGTAGTTATTTTTAGTAGCTGTTGGGCCAAGTGTTCCTCCCCTTTTCTTATCATGTTGATATTATCTAGAATTATAATTCAACGTTGCTTTTAATTAAATGGATATGAACCCTTTCTCAGACCATATTCCAGTCTTTTGGTGGGTAAATTAATAGAAGTAGTAAGTGTTTTGTCTATTATGTTTTGGGTCAGAGTAAAAAAATTGAGTAAAATCAAGAGTAAACTGGAAGAAAAAAAATCAAACTTTTGGGCTCCAAGCCTTTTAAACAATGTGATGAATAAAGAACTTGCTTCTAGAAATTGTAGAATTAACTAGCACAATTAATGAGTATAAATCAATAATAATAACAAGGATGATGATAATAATATCCAATATGTGGAGTACAATAAAGCAATAAAGAGGTAAATGTTTGGGCAACAATTATTGCATACTAACTGGAAGTGACTAGAATTACATTCAAAGGTCTCTTTATTGTTGGACTTGGGGTAAATAAATTGATTACTATCAGACTTTGCTAAGAATCCATATAACAAATTTAAGAATAATCACTAAAAAGAAAATTTGAATGTTTATATTTTTCTAAAGTTATAAAAAGTGAAAAAACAGAAAGAAGAAAAAATTCAGTCAATCTAAAATCTAAAAGAAAGCAATTGTTGAAAATTCTAAATTAGGAGGCCATTTGATGAATTGAAATAGCCCTGGAATTTTACATTTCTACACAAGCAAACTGAAGCCCCCATGTAAACATTAAAGCAAAATTAAAGACTTTACTAGTCAGAAACTGCCACCAAACCTCTAACTGGAGATTTCTTACTCTAAGCACTAAATTATTTCTTCCTTGTCTTTATGTCTTTGCCTACAAAGTCATGCTGCTGCAGGGAGGCTCTCCGAACCTCTCCTGGCTCTGAGTGCTAATTCATGAATTGTTTTTGCTCAAGTAAACCCTATTAAATTTATTTTTCCTGAAATTTTATAACATAAGGAAAGAAGAGAAAATCACAAAATTTGGGACCAGTGACAAAGTACAAAATACAGTCTTGAAATATATCCAAATATATCCCTAAACACTGTAAACTGACATAGATTGTCTGATTAAATGCTTTGAAGAGACCAAACTATGTATTCCTTCCAAAAGACATATGTATTTCAAAAGCACAGAGAGGACAAAGGAAAAAAAAAACTGACAATCTATTAGATTTGACTACATTAACTTGACAATTTTCGACTTACAAAACTGTGAATTTCATATAGTTTTAGCTAATAAAATAGAATCAGACAATGTAGACTTAAGGCAGAAAACATTTTATCTCAAATCATTATGTATTATCAAATTAAATCCACTGGGAGAATATACCTTTTGAGAACATAATGGCAGAGATTAAAAGCATGAGAAAAAATGGTGACAAAATTCTGGGGAAAATCAGAAATATCCAACATTTTAATGACAGATTTTAACACTACTCTTTCAGGTATTGATAATTCAATTAGCAAGTACATGGACAATTTGAATGAAACAATTAAGAATAATCTAGTAGTCATAATTTTTTTTCCACTGGAGAATAGAAATGGCTTTTCAAGACCATGAAGAATTTCTTTTTGGAAATCAATCTCCTTTAAGACCATATACCAAGCCTCAGTAAAAATCAGGGAACTGTGGCCTAGAGATGAAATTTGTTGGTTGTAGACCAAGTAAGTTTCAATAAACCTTGATGGCTCAGTGTTTCCAAACCAGTTTTAGATGACAATGCAATTGATCAAGATATCAATAAAGAATGACATTTTAAAAATCCTACACATTTAGAAAATTTAAAGTATATCTTTGAGTAACTCAGGCGAAAAATGGTATAAGAAAGGAGTTTGGTGTTGAATGAAACAAGAAGACACAAAAGGATGAGTATAAAATATCAGTTTTATAAGTCTCAACAATCAGCAAAATTTAAATTATGTTAAAAAGAAAAGAAAGACTGTAATTACAAATGAAAACTCAGGATAGTGGGTACCACTGGTGCAGAGTGAAGGAGAAGGAAAGGATGATAAATCATATTGATAACATTTGTTTTTTTCCTTGATGTTGTTTCAAGGTTGTTTACTTTGTGTGTTCATGACTTGCATACATCATATGCATTCCTTTTGCATATCACATATTATAAAATAAAAAAATCCAAGTCAAGTATCCATTTTTCTTTATTAAGCTGACACAAATTTATCATCATATGCTATTTTTTCTAAATATTATAAAGTAATTTTAAAATCACTTTTCATACTTTTTACTCCCACTCCTTTTCTCCTTATTATCATTATTTCCATTCAAATTACAGTGTATTATTTTAGTTTATTTTTTTAACTGTTCATTCCACTTCATGATAAAATCCACATGACCATTATTTCCCATTTATCTCTACTCATTTTCTGTACTTCTTGGCTGAGCACTATGATCCTAGAGGCTGGAGACTCCATATCCTTGGCTTCCTTATTCTCTCTTACTTCCATCATGGTTAAGCCGGTGGGAAGCCCTGGTAGGCGATGGCAGTGTGGAAAGTCAGAGAAATTGAAACATCTCCTCCCTCAATTTTCCATCGTTAGACCCTTTGTCCCTCACAACTTCTTCCAGGCAGCTCCAGGTCTCATGTTTTGAGTAACATTATGTGTACTCTTTGTTTCTTCAATATTAGGTGTAGTAGTAGCTTCTCATTGTTGCTGGAGTTGGAGTGACTGAATCCTTCTAATTTTCCAAAACATTTTCCAACATATATAAGTAGCTGTTGCATTAAAATAACTTACTTTCATAATATTTGGGGCAAATTTTGTTTCCTTCCAGAATGTTGTTACACATTGGTTCTGTCTCATTTGCTTTGTTCCCTCAATATCTGGAACAAGACCTTACACGATAGAAACTACAACAAAAAAACAGAATAAGCCCAAGAACTCTTGGTCACTGAGAGCTAGACAGACTCATATCTTAAAGTCTGAAAGAGAGATAAGGAACATACAATCAGATGTTTACTCATACAAATGAGTAAACGGGGGCATGAAGAAGCCCAATTCACTGAAGAGGAAATCTAGATTCCCATACAGAGCTCTGGTGGTGATAAATGGCTTATTGAACATAACACGTCACAGAAAATTGTGAGGTTATTTCATCTCAGCAGCTGCTGCTGACTAGGCCTATTTAATTTTGGAAATTGACTCAAGGACAATATCTATCTACTGGCTAGCAGTGCACAGAGATGGTTGTATAAGAGTTTTGTCAAAACAAAATGATAGTAAGTAAGTAACACTTCAGATTCTCCTCTATGGAGTATTTAAGTGCAAACTACAAAGAGTGTTTTCCAGTTGTTAATACATGCAGATACTGAAAAAGATATAGAAGGTTAAGTAAGAGAGCCTATGAAATGGCAGTTGTCCTGAGAGTCAATGCATACATAGAGTCTGTGAGTACATTTAAGTTCCAAGTGCTGATGTCCAATGAGGCAGAAATTAAAAGATATACAGGAGTACAGATAAAAGGCTGAGTCATCATATTGACAAGAGATTGGATAACTGAAATGACAAGTTAACATTGGAAGTAAAATAACATAAATCCTAAATCATATTCCAATTCCCAAATTATTTCTCTTCTGTGACATCCAGACTATACCTGTAACTGGGTTAGCACAGATGTCTTTTATTCTTTTTGCATATATATTTTTACAACAAGTCCCTCATTATTTTGGGTTCTAGACAATATAAAAAGTTTGTGGAAAATCAAAGCTTCTGATTGCTATTTTGGTATCGCTTCCACCACACCACTGACATTGAGTTAATAAAATTTTAATCTTATTTATGATTTCATCCAGGTCACTTCAGGTTAGTTCAAAGAAATTTAAAACAGAAACATTCTTTGATAGTTTACCAAAGAATGGTTGCTGTCAGGTTTTTCTTTTCACTTTATTAAGGGTGAGTTTTTGGAGAACACTGATACAAACTAGAATAATTCAAAGGAAAGATTCAAATTTGCCAAAACTTTATATATGTACATATATATACACATGTATATAAAATCTAAATTATATATGTGATCTAATCTATAATGTTTTCTATATATATGTATATATATATGCGTATATATATATATATATATATATATATATACACACATATATGATCTAAATTATAACTGGAATATCCAGTATCCAAAATCCTGAGCAGAACTGCTTAGAGAATGGAGTCTCAGGAGCAGAGTCAGTGTGACAGAGAAAGACAGAGGGTGAAGTGATAACCCGCAGAGCAAAGAGACAAAGGAAAGCAGTAGGCTCAGGGGTTTGTTAAAGAGCAGCCTCGTACCAAGGAATGCATTCTTTTGAATGGAATTCATAAAGTGGTGTTTAGTATGGGAGAAATGTAGGGGGTGTCATTTATCTTGGTGTCCACAGCCCTTGACAGGATATTTTCTTGAAGATTCTTTCACAAAAAGTGAACTCAAATTGCCTTGAAAATTGGCTGATGAATTCAAAATAAAAGCAAATGCACATAGTTCTAGAAAAGTACCACAAAATGACAAAGGAATTGATGTCAATTTTTAGTTTTCTCACATTTTCAAAAGTTACCTGAAAGTAGATTTCTTTTTTTAAATGTAGTCATTGAAACTATATGTGTTCAATACTGAGTTAGGTACTTTTGAGTGCAGTGGCCATGTTTTGGGTATCAAAATGAAGAAGGATTTTATGTTGCTTCTGGGTGTAAGAGGAGGTGCAATGCTGTTTGGAGACTAATTTACTAGAATTTCTGGAATGTTCTTTGTGGGACATAGTTATCTCAGGTCAAAGTTTTAAAACAGGATAATTCTAGAAAACTTGGGACATGATAACCAGCTATGAGATAGATGTTTACTGATAGCAAGGAGCTTAGCATTCAGGAAGGGAATCGTGACATGTTCACCTACCGCAAAGATGATGTAAGGACACCAGAAACAGAGAGGATAGAGTGTGTGAGCATTGTTTCAGGTTTGTTAGATTCTGTTTTCCCCCTTTATCTTTCCCAACCTTTTTTTCCCCCTTTCCCATATCCTGGGAAAATTTAAAATATTAATTAAATCATGTCATTAATCTTAAAAATCTTCAAGGGACTTCTGTTGCACTTTGAAAATAATTCAGAGATCTTATTAATCATATTTTCTACCTGCCCTGCCCAACCTCTTATGGATTTGGCACCTTTTAGGAAATCAACATATGCAGAAAAAAATGAAAGGAATGAATGAATAATGAATAACTACACACAGGGTATAAAAATATTTCCAGAAATTTAGCCTGAGTTTTCTTTTTTTCTTTTAACTGAACTACCTCTTTCTTGCACAATTGTAGAAATGTATTGACAATAATAAACATGAGTAATTTAGTTGATATGTAACTAATATTTATAGTGCCTGGATCTGATTTTTGTTTGTCAAAATCAAGGATGCATTTATTTTAACAACATTATAATTTTAGGTCCACTCTATATACAGTTGTGCAAATTTCATTCTGTACAACCTTAGGGCATGCCTGATCAGCTCTATATGGAAATCCTGAGAACTTTTTCATATATAAGAAATTGGTGAGGTTTTAAGGCCTTAAAAGTAGGAACTATGTTTTATTCATTGTTCTATTCTCTACAGTGTTTATTATTATACCAATAGAATTAGAAATTGATCTATTATGTACTGATGTAATGGAAATTTTAAATAATCATGTGGACTTATATATACTCTCATTTTGAAATAATTCTAGTTAACAGACTAATTCTAGTTAATAATGCATAGTTGGTTTATCCCAAAAGTTCAAAGTATAAAATCATAAAATGGTACTTACATACCTTAAATTTTTTAATTTTAACTTGAAATGTGTAGTATGCTTTCATTCATCAGTTTTCAAAGATAGGGTCCAAACATATTCTTTATCTATGTATCTAATGATGAAAGTTCTCATTTATTTTATTACATTAAATAGAAGCGTAAGATATGAAACTAAATACCCATATTCTTGAAAGCAGAGTAAGAAATGTAAAGTACTTCTGACACAATAAAATAACCCTTTTAGATATTTTTATTTTCTTTCCTCTTAATCTTGTATCCTGTCCACAACAGTTTGACAGTGAATTTTTAAGTTATTGAGTTTTTCCAAACTATTCAACTTCCGATTGATGAATACAATTCTTTTATTCCCACTTAAATTTAGTTTATTTAATAGTTTAATTATTTAATAAACTAATTAGTTTATTAATAGTTTATTAAATTAAATTTCATAATTATAGTTACCAGTATAATCATCATAAGTAGATTGGGAACAAACTTGATCAGCCCTTAGCATATAATTCAATGGTAGGAACAGAATGTCAACCTTCAAGTCCCAGAGGTTTTGTTCATTGTAAATCATCTTTCAGAAGGGAGCTAGCAGTAAAGTCAAGTCTGCTAACAAAAGTACAGATGGGAGAATTTGCATTGTTTTGAAATTATACTTATATAATTAGCAAATAATATCAAGATAAAGAAGACAACCTGAAAGAGTAAGCATATCCTGAAAAGACTCCAATGTTTAGGCTACAAAGAACTTGTCACTCTGAACCTCATACTGCTCTTTATTCTTTTAGGATGTGACTATGACTTCAAGAGAGAGAAGAATAACCTGTATTTGTCATTCAAGATTCTTCGCACACTATTCAGGTAAGATAGTATTGACTTTAAAAAGTGGTGACCAAGATGGTTTTCTCTAGAGCAAATGGAAGAGGTGTGAAATGCACATATACTTGTGAAATTCATAATCATTTACACTTTGATGCTAATGGTGTTAATGAAAGTACCTTTTACATTGTGGCACATTTAAAAGGATTTTCAGGACCATTATCTCATTTGAGCCTCACACCCCTGTGAGCTCAGTACTGCAGATATAATCACTACCCTAGTTTCAAAAATGAGAAAACTAAGGCCCCAGGAGATTAAGTGATTTGTCTAAGGCTCTGTAATATTAATACACAACTGTAACTCCTCTCACTTCCAATTCTGTTTTTCCCTACTACAGCATGCTGTATAATAAATGGTCTTGAGCAGGAAGCCTCAACAGGTATCAAAGCAGTGGATAATTATTTTCCCCTTGACTCCATTGGTGCATAGTTTTTACATTAAAAGTACATTTATCCCTGTTCACGTTACCCTCCCCCATTCAGCTGAGGTAGGAGAGCAGAGATTGTCTCCTGTTTAAATGGTAGCCCCTCTCATCTAGTGTGTGTCTGTCGGCATCAATTTGTCTGAGCTGAATTGTAAGAGATGAAGCTTTATTCATTTTAGGAATAAGAATATATCCGAGGAGCCTGATTGTGTTATTGAAAAGCAAAAATTGATATTTTGTGAAAATGCAAAAAAAAAAAAGAAAAACTTGGAGATTTGAGGAGGGAGAATAATACTTTCATATCTTTTCAAGAGAAGCTCATGATATTTTGTTATAAAATTTATTCCCACATAATTAGTTTTTATGCTTACTTCTTAAGTCTATGGTTTTTCTATTATTTAATTTACTATTTTTGTTATTTTATTAATTTTATCATGCTGATTTGTTATATATTCTACTTTAGTTGTAATATTTATTTATTTTGTTTTAAAATATGTTAAAATATTAAAACCACAAATTTTTGAATGTATCAGAATACAAATTTTATATGTATTAAAAGCTCTTGAAATTTAAAATCACTTTTTGTATTTTTTGATGATAAAATTTATTCAGTACATAAAAGCATGAACAAGAAAGTATTACCGTAGTAGTAGCATAGGACAAGAATCTAAAAGTAACAATAGGCCAAATCTGCATTACTGTGTATGACCTTTGTAAAATGTTTCTTGGTACATAGCCCTACACCTTTGTTTGCATACTGCCTGTAGCTGAGACAGAGTTGAGTAGCTTTGACCTGCAGTAAGTCCTTTACCAGAAAAGTGCTATTTCCTGACTTAGAGAAAACCAGTAACATTTTGGACCTTCTTTCCAGTTCAATCTGTTTATCTTTGATGTAAAAATTAATTAACATCCTTATACCTGGGATAAATATTATAAGTGGTTTCCATAATGCCAATTTTCCCCCTTGACTATTTGTGTCAATCAATATGCTTAGGTTAAAAAGAAAGAAAAAGAAAAAGATAACCACCACCAACAACAACACACCTTAATTTTCTATATGTTCTTCAGTAAAATGCAATATTTGGATGTAATTCTGAACAATGGGGCTTCATCAGTTATTGATTTCTACAGAACAAATAAATGTAGTGTCTTAAATGACCACTGTTTAAACTTCCTGGACAGTTCTGCTAGTCTTGGCCAGTCTCAGCAGATCACAGCTGGGCCTGTGTGTATCAGTAGTCAGCTAAGGGCTGGTGAGCAGGCTGGCTTGGGAGGCCTCAGGAATACTTAGCTCTTCTCCTTGTGTCTTCCATATGCCTACAACCAGAAATGAGCTAGGGCATGTGTTTGTGGCAGTGCCAGTAATCCAAGAGAGAAGACAGAAATATGCAATTTCATTTTCTAATTTCTAATGTATCAAATGTGTTGCTGTCCTGTTTGTCAAATTAAGGCACATGCCAAACTTGTAGTCATAATCAAAAAGCATGAATATAGGAGATATGAAAAACTGGTCTATAAAAGGTGATTTATCAGATAAATATAGGTAAAAGTCCATGGACAGAGCATCCCTTCCCAGGCTAATAGAAATATTTTTTTCTGCCTGAAGAACAGATATGAGGCCTGGTGGTGTGGCTACCCTCTTGTGCCTTTGAGGTGACAAATATAAAACAAAGGCCTATCTCTTTGTTAATTATTATGGGGTTAGACCCTGCATCCCAGACATACTTTGTGGGCCTTTTGAGTGGTTATAGAATGAGTCTACTGTATGATACTAAAAGACCCTACAGGATTCATCTACTAACATAGGTTTCTATTAAATATAGCCAAATATTTTTTTTCAATCCACAATATATTGATATATTTTTTATTAGTACATATAAATCTAACTTATTTTAAAAACAACTTCTAAAATTTGGCTCTACTAACACTTATTTAACCAATCTACTCTTCAAGATAATTAAGTAGTTCACAGATTTTCACTATTACAAAGAATGCTTTAATGATCATCCTTAAAAATATCTTTGCACACTTCTTATGATGTCTCCATAGGATGTGGTACTCCTACAAGAGAAATTTTGGAAGTTGAACATATTCATTTCACAATTTTAGACATATGGCAAGTTAATTCTGCCCAAAATACTGGTAAAATTTACCCTCCTATCAACAGCTTATGAGAATACTTATTTCCTCCCAAACTAATTCAATATTGGATTTTGACACTTTAAAGATTTTACCATTGTATTAGAAAAATTATTATTTGTATAATTGATTATTCTTTGATATTTAGTAAAATTGCCCATTTCCACACATTTGATATTTATATTTCTTTTATGAATTTTCTCTTTATAGCTTTTATCCATTTTTCCTGTTTGTTTTATCACTATTTTGTATTTATTCTCTCTATAATTACTGATTTTTTGGTGCTTTATACATTGTATATGTTCTCCTAGTTTGTCTTTTTCTTTGTTAATATATTTTTCCCATGAAGTTCAATTTTGCTCAGAAAAAGTTTTCAATTTTTTATGTTTCTAAGATTTATTAGTGCATATAAATCCCTTTCTTAACACTATATCACTATTTTTCCATATTTTCTTTCCTTATTCTATGTTTTTAAAAATTCAGTCATGTATTGCTTAATGATCAGAATATGTTCTGAGAAATGTGCCGTTGGGCAATTTTGTCCTTGTGAGCACATTGTAGAGCATTTTTACACAAACCCAGGTGTAGGTCAATCTCTCCTTCTGGTCTCTTGATGCAGCCAATCAAGAGACACAGGGTAACACAGCAACACAGCATGCTTTACAGTGTTTTCTTTATCTTTTTATAAATATGAGTACCCTCTTAACAATAAAAGTTTGGCTAATAAGTAAATAAGCAGTTATCTGTAATCATTAGTATTATGCACTGTATATAATTACACGTGCCATACTTTTATACAACCGAGCAACATAGGTTTGTTCCCACCAGCATCACCATAAACAAGTGGGTCTTGTGTGTTTGCCAGGGCAATGTGACACAGCAATGGGAAATTTTCTGCACCATTGTAATCTGGTGTTCTACCCTTGTATTTGCAGTTCAGCATTGACTGAAACGTCATTTTCACAGTTCATAACTGTGTTGTCTTTAATTCATTTGGAATTTTTATGTTGTATAGTTGGCAGAAATATAACTTGATTTTCATTCAAGCAAATGACGATTCGTAAAAGTGGCCTTTAGTTTACATGTGCATTTTCATGTTCTCTTTGTCAGCTAATGATGATTTTTATTTTGGCTTTGAAAGAAACAGCAGGAAGATTTTATCTTTTTCTTTATGATCTGGAAATGTGTAAATCACATAAGATATTTTTAAAGATTTGTCAAGATTCCCTATGTACTTTAGGGTGAATTCTTCACTTTTGTGGCAATGTGTAAATTGTATAATGTTGTGTATGCATGTTGTATATTGCCATAACATAGATATAAACTATTTCATTTGTTGATTTTGTTTCATTTATGTTTCCTGTATTCCTGAAGTTTATTTTGACAATTTATATTTTCCTAGAAAACAATCCCTTTAATTCATGGTTTCAAATTTGTTTTCAGATTATATAAAATATCCTTCTGTATTTGTTTTTTATATTTATTTAATTTCATATGTATATAGTATTTATTAAACATGAACAGTTACATTTTTTTTAGCTTTTTAAAAAGCAATACTTGCTAAGTCCAAAAATTCACAAAGTTCACGTAACCATGGTGTCCATGTCTCCCAGCATCTTACCCTTTTTAAATCTGACTCTTCCACTTAATATATATAGAGAGCAGCTTTCTTTTCACATTGATAAGAGGACAGATAATGTGAGTCTGAGATGATTGTTGGGGAGGGAAAACTTACTTCCCTTTTACTGTCCTGTGTTCGTCACCCAGGGTCCTACAAATTAGACTGGATGGCAGTAGTCTTGGGGTGGAGTTGGTGCTGGACTTACCAGACCCAGCAAGCTTTGCTCTCTGACCACACTGGCTTAGTCCCAGGATGCAGGATGGGCAAGTGGTGTGTACAGTGCACTGTCAGTAGGAACCAGCAGCTTCCTCTCCACATGGGATGAGTACGGTTGATTGGTCCTCCAAAAATTCATATGTTCTCTTTTATATCTTTGAGTATATTTGTATTCTTTTCTTTCTTCTCTTGATGATTAGCTAATGGTTCTTCTTTTAAAATTACTATTCCACCCACATACAATTTATTTATGTATCTATTTATCAGTTCTCATTTCTGTTTTCGAATTCATTAGTTTATTGTTTCATCATTATTCATTCCTTCATTTTGCATTTCTTAGAGATTTTCTTATTTCTCTAATTCTTAAACTGAATGTCTTATTTAATACATTACTGTTTAGTGCCATAAGTGTGTAAGGCAATAAAATTTCTACTATGTACAGCTTTGACCATATGTCTATTCTAAAAATTATGTGTTTTCATTATTATTTTCTAATTGTCCTGTTAATATTGGTTTATTCTTTGTATAATAAATTTTGTGAGCTTTTACACTTTTAAGAGATTGGGCTGTTTATTTTTCCAT